ATATTGTCAACATGTGTTCCAAAATTAATCTTATTCCTTTGTCTCTAATTTTTAAAAATAACTCCCAAAATTTTAACAGTTTCTGATGGTTGAATTATTTTTCCATCAAAATTAATGGGCAATTTTTCATAGTTATGTAGATAGAGTATACCTGTTTTGTTTGGACTTGGTGAAAGTTTTACCTTTTCACACCATGCTTTGATTTTTACTAAACATTTGGTAATATTATACTGAAGATCATAGATGTTTGAACTCCATACCACAAATGTCACATCGTCCGCGAAAGCAATCACTCTAGCAAAACTTTCGTTAAAAGATAAGTTGAAATCATTAAGTAATATATTCCAAAGAATAGGAGAAATAATACCACCCTGGGGACATCCCTTATTTATCTTTTTTATACACTTTACATTAGTATATTTAAACTCTACACTCCGGTCTTCAAAGTAAGAATTAATTATTTTTATAAGTACCGCTGGAAAATTTGCCTTGTCCAATTGTTGGAGAATTGCCGGATGCCATGCGTTGTCGAAAGCTCCGCTGATGTCCACTGTTACTATTGCCGTATTTTCTGTTTCTCTTTTCAAAAGACTTAATTTAGTTATTTCTTGTAAAGCAGAGATTGTTGATTTTTCTTGTGTAAATCCATGTTGAGCAGGATGCATAACATTATTACTATTAATATGATTTAAAAGTTCAATATGAATAAGACTTTCAAAAATTTTACCTAAATTAGAAGACAAGCTTATAGGGCGGTAGGCTTTCGGATCTTTATAATTTTCTTTATTAGGTTTTTTTATAATCATTACTGCTGACTTTCTCCAGGCCTCCGGATAATAATTGAGTCCCATACAAGCATTGAACAATTTTGTTAACACAGGAGATATATGATGAACTGCCGTTTTGATCATCTGATTGCTTATATGATCTATTCCTGGAGCCTTGCCATTTTTAAGTTTTTTAATTATTGAACAGATTTGAATATTATCAAAATAAATGATTTTATCATTAGAAAAGTATAACTCTTGTCTCTGATTAATTTATGATAGTTTGTGTCAGAAGATTGACAGTCATTCGGAAATAGAGAAGATAAAAGATTTTTCATTTCTGATTCGAGCACATCTTGAGATACATCTAGAATTGGTAAATCAAAAGACCTAGGAGAAATTTTTTGTTTAAAAGTTTTGTAAGTATTACCAAAAGGAGATGTATTTTCAACTTCCTCCAGGAATACCCTCCAGCTTACATTTCTTGTTTTTTCAATAATATTCATATACTTATTTCGTATTTCCTTATACATTTTTTCATCAACTAGCTGTCTATTAGACCGTTTACCCCGATAATATAGATTTCGAACATATTTAAATGATTTTTAAAAAGTTCCAGTTCATCCGTCCACCAATTAAATGGATTATTATTTAAATATTTTGGTTTTAATCGTAGAGATGCATATGCAGCTTCAATTAATATGTCAGTTATGTGAGAAACTACACAGTTTATATCGTTTATATTTACTATTTTACCTAATTTCATCATTGCCTCATTTATCCTAGACACATTGATTGCCTGCTCATATTTTTGCCAATTGGCTCTTTTTTCTTGAAAATACCATGTAGAATTATTTTCATGTAATAAACTTTCTGTTTCCAGACTAATGTCGAATGAGATTGCGTGATGGTCTGTGATTTGCGAAAGATTTAACGTTTTCCATCCATTAACAAGTACATGAGCATGACTATTAGTAATAGTAAGGTCTATTATACTTAATCCTCGACATGTTTTGTTTCGATTGTTATGTATGAGCATATTGTGAAAATCAATTATAGGTTGAAGTCTTCTACCGTTTTGATTAATAATATTATCAAACCACATCTGACTTCGAGCGTTAAAATCTCCAGCTAAAATCAATGGATTTGTGTTAAAACTTTTAATTAATTTATCAAGGAATTGAACATGACAGGTATCCATTTTATTAGGGTGTATATAAATATTTGAAAGAATAATTTGCCGTTTAGTAGTTTGTACTGATATAGTCGTTGCAAATGAATTTGAAAACTCTTTAATTAATTTACATGATAAGAAAGGGTTTGTAACGATTGTTGCGGTATATATTGGAACTCCCGGTATATTTGCATAATATATTTTTGAACGCATATTAAAGATTACTTCATTATTTATACTATATGGTTCTTGAACTATAATCATATCATATTTTTCTTTAGAAATAAATTCCCTTATTTCATTATTAACCAAATTGCTTTTCCGCGTGTTTTGTTGTAGAATTTTTAATTTGAACATTGACCAAAAAACAAGAATAAATCTATTCTAATCCAAAGTAACAATATCATGATCTAAATCTGCATAACATGTTCTTTGTATCTCATATTTCATTTGTTGAAGGAACACAGGACATAATTTGTCATTAGAACGATTATTATTGCTATTCCTATATTTAGGATGCGTAGAGCAATTTATGCACTTGGGCAAGGATTGACAGTTAACATGTTGGTCATTGTCTCCGCAATTTTTACATTTTATGATGTTACATGAATTTTTACTATGACCATAACTAAAACAGTTTTGACATTGACGTACAAGCACCTTATCCTTCATATATGTAACCTGTATGTCTGTATATATACGTTGTAATTTCTTCATAATTTGGTATGTTGCCGGGGAAATGCGGAGAACAACATCCTGTACATCAGTATTTGATCTCATTGCGAACAGAACCTTTATCTTCTTCTCTCGACCTTCTAACTCTGGGTTCATATTGCATAAAATCGAAGGCAATTCCTTAATATCTGTAGATTTAGTAATTGACTTAAGAACAATTGTAGGATCTAGTGGTTTTGGTGCATAAATTAATGCTTTTTGATTTACCTCATCAATCTTTTTAAACTCTTCAATCAATGTATTCAAATCTTCACCTGAATCAACTTTAAGTATTACGCCAGATTTTGATTTTATTATTTTATTTATTTTGACTTTAGATCTATCATTTCTCATCTTTTTAATACCATTATTTACTTCGCCTAATACTTCAGCCGGATAAACATTTAACTTGGATTTAAATATTATTGTTTTATCCGTTACGTTTTGATTTTGCATAACTATTTTATCGTCTTCACTAGTAACTCTCGTAGCTTGAGCATATGACCTATTATAAAATTGACTTGAAGGAGATATTTTCTTTATTGATTCGTCCAGATTTCCAAGTCTATCACAAATAGAGCCATTGATTACTGCGATATCTCCCATTGTATCCATCAATATATTTAATTGCTTTAGCAAGCCCTGTACAATTGTAAGATCATTTTGATTTATGCTTTTATTTGTAGATGAGTACTTTGATTTTAATGTGTCGGCAATTTGTTCCGAGATGATCTTATGCTGAATCCTACATTCCTCAGTACGTTTTTCAATTTTATCGACCATATTGTTCTAACAAGCGGCAAGCGGTCACGCCGCGCCGTCTGCTGATATGCAAATCAGCTGTATATAAAATGTTTAAGTATACTTAAGAGTTGGTTGTTATATGAATAATAATATAAAAAAGTAAGGTATAAAAGATTTTAAATTTCAAAAACAACTCTAAATACAAATTTGAAGTAATATTTACCGGAATTCGCGGAGCGCTGCAAAAACACGTCCGCCCGACGATAAATATGCAAATTTTCATCTTTTGCATCTTAAGATATTCCGAGACTTGATTTCTACGCTACAATTTTATCATTATCTCATTATTAGTTTATCATTATTATTATTATCTGTGAAAAATATGGTTTTCGCCCCAATATAAAAACAAAGTGATCTAATTTGACATTTCTATATTAGGACCAATTAAATCATCGTGTATGTAGGGGTATTGTTTATTTAAAATTGTTAATTTTAAAAGTTAGCATTATTATACTAATTTTTTTTTCAATTAAAAAGACATATATTATATCAAAATATCATTTATTTTACCAATATTTCAGTTAGCTAAACGCCATATATATAATATTTTGATCCAATATATGCCTTTTTAATTAAATATTTATTTATGGATTGCTTTATTTTCAAAATTATACTAAATGTAATGATATTGGGTTCCTTTTTCATTTTTCACAGACTCAACGGAAAGTTGAAACCACTACGAAGTTTAAAAAAATTCAAAAAAAGTTGAGGTCAAGATAATTTTTTAAAATTCTCTCTCTGGGAAAAAAAATATTTTTGAAAAAAATTCACTTTCCTCTTTCACCTAAAGGCATTATATCATTAATTTTACCTTCGACTTTTCTTTTGAAATTTACTTTTAGAAAAAGTTTCGATTAATAACCCCCTCTATTCTATGGCTTCATAAATTTTAACTAAGACGTTTTATTGGGGTGAATAAATGTTATTTGTTCAACTGAACGGTAGCGTCATCTAGGGGAATTAATATTAACTCAACGTTGATATCATTATATTATTATTCATAGTATACGAGGTACAGGCCATGATAATCATGGTAAGTAGTAATTGGAGACTGTTTTTACTGTGAGTGTACACATATCTACACATGTGAAAATCTTATTTCATTATATATTTATATATATTATTTCCATATTATACGTGGTACAGGCTATGAGAATCATGATGGGTAGTAGCTAGCCTGATTCAAATTCACATAAATAGGTACCGCTCAGCAAGAGCAACCTAGTTCATGATAATTGAATAATGAATAATATGTGAAGGTTATTCACATATTAAACAATTTTTAACGCGGGATTCAATCCCGGTTCATGACTGTCGGGAATCGAGGGTGTTACCTACTCGTCCACCGACTTATTTTACTTAGCGACTGCTTTTACTGTAAGTACACCACATGTCTACACATGTGAAAAGCAGTTCACGACTTTTGCACTTAGAAACTTATAAATATGTGATAGAGCTCTGTTTGTTTACTTGCAGTCACTGGTGGGGTTGGAGACAAGAATAAGTAGCCATTAGAACAATTATTTATTAAGAAAAAATAGTGTCCAACGCGGGATTCGATCCCGGGTCGTGACGGATTGAAACCGACGGCTTACACCACTCGCCCACTGTTAAGGTACGCGAGGTCAAGATTGAAGAAGCCTCCTCTTAACAAGTAAGACCCTCACCTAAGGTCTTGATATCAGTTTGGACTGCCTTGGGTGATCAAGCCAGGAAGGAAAATAACGAAGACAGAAACCATCGGCTACACGCGCAGAAGCTCTCGCTCTACTAAGAAACTCTTTATTTCAACAACACGGCTCAGTTATATACAAAAGGGAAATTTACATAATAACAATTTATACATTCAATAGAAAAATCTACATCTCTAGTCATACACTCAAAAAAGGATATTTACATATTGTATGTTACGACTTTTAACATACCCCCACCTTTCTTTTTTGTAAAAAGAAAAAATCCGGCATACTGCGGCACCCTCTCCATACACACCACCGGAGGTTGCCCCTTAAGCGTCCATCTTCTTCCTCCAAAGAAATCGGAGGTAGTCCCAATCATTTTCCCTGATGGCCATCACCTGGAAATATCTCCTCACGTCGGCCAAAACTCCGTACTTATTTTTCCGAAGTTTTATCCCTATTTCCGGGATTATCCTCAGTAGATTGGGTATCTTTTTTAAATATCGCCTCAAGGATAGTCCGCTGCGTCCTCGACAGGAAGCGCCGTCACATACTGGCCGTATAGGCGTCGCCTCGGACTCACACCCAAATACAGGGCGATCAGGAAACCAGTATCCCTTTCCCTCCATCTTTGATTCAGTACCTTGTTCTGCATCTAGCTTTTCTTCTTCCACCTTTGAATCAGTACCCTCAGCTACTGCTCTAGAATTGCTCACCGGTTCATAACCTTTAATTGCAGTCTCAGAATCCTTTACTCCGTCGCCCTTAGGCTTCGCTTCAGAATCTTCCTTATCATTTAAATTTGCCTCTTCATATTTTTCATTGGCATTATTTCTACCAAATTGCCCCCACCTTGAGAGCCAATCCCCTGGGTTGCCCTTAAGTTTTTGTAGATCTCCCTTATTCTTTATTTTAGATTCCGTATCTCCAGTTGGTCTTGCTTCAGCATCATTTACTCCGTTGCCCTTAGGCTCATCTTCAGAATCCTTTATTCCTTCGTCCCTAGGATTCACTTCAGATTCCTTTACGCCTTCGCCCTTAGGCTTCGCTTCAGAATCATTTACTCCGTCGCCCTTAGGCTCATCTTCAGAATCCTTTACCCCGTCGCCCTTAGGCTCATCTTTAGAATCCCTTACTCCGTCGCCCTTAGGCTCATCTTTAGGATCCTTTACTCCGTCGCCCTTAGGCTCATCTTCAGAATCCTTTATTCCTTCGTCCCTAGGATTCACTTCAGATTCCTTTACGCCTTCGCCCTTAGGCTTCGCTTCAGAATCATTTACTCCGTCGCCCTTAGGCTCATCTTCAGAATCCTTTACCCCGTCGCCCTTAGGCTCATCTTTAGAATCCCTTACTCCGTCGCCCTTAGGCTCATCTTTAGGATCCTTTACTCCGTCGCCCTTAGGCTTCGCTTGAAGTTTGATAACTCTCTGATTATCGGTTTCTGAATTCGGAGAGGCACTAGACGCCCCTGGTGGAATTTGAGAAGTCTTGGCCTGAGCGTCCCTATCCTGCTCACGCATTACGCGAATTCTGGCCTTTAAATAATATCTTTCCGTGATGTAGGGTTCACACTCCTCAAACTCCCTATCTATTTCATCATCGGTAGCCTCAGCTTTGGCTAATAAAATTGCCTGGCATCGCTCATTCAATGCCAGCAACTCCAAATGGAGAGCTTCCAATCTATCAAATTTTTCATATATGCCACTTTTATCAATAAGAGGATCCCTTAACTCTGTATTCATATCATTTACCACCTCGGTAAAAACGCCTCTTATCGCCTCTCTACGCCTTCTGCTAACATCCTCCATCTCACCTGGTAGTTATCCTTTCACCTTGTAGGTATCCTTTTACCTTGTAGGTAGCCTTTCACCCTGTGGCTTCTTCAACTTCTTTGCCTTACTTGAGCTTCACTTTTCCCTTGAGCTCCTTTTAACCTTTAACAAAGGGCTTCTTGATCTCCTTTAAACCTTGAGCTTCACTGAGCTCTTTTTAACCTTTTAACAAGGGCTTTTTGAGCTCCTTTAAACCTTGAGCTTCATTGAGCTCTTTTCAACCTCTAACAAAGGGCTTTTTGAGCTCCTTTAAACCTTGAGCTTCACCGAGCTCTTTTTAACCTTTAACAAAGGGCTTCTCGAGCTCCTTTAAACTTTGAGCTTCACTGAGCTCTTTTTAACCTTTAACAAATGGCTTCCCGAGCTCCTTTAAACCTTTAACAAAGGGCTTCTTGAGCTCCTTTAAACCTTGAGCTTCACCGAGCTCTTTTTAGCTTCTTTTACCTTGAGCTTCTTTAGCTTCTTTCACCTTGAGCTTCTTTAGCTTCTTTCACCTTGAGCTTCTTTAGCTTCTTTTGCCTTGAGCTTCTTTAGCTTCTTTTACCTTGAGCTTCTTTAGCTTCTTTCACCTTGAGCTTCTTTAGCTTCTTTTACCTTGAGCTTCTTTAGCTTCTTTCACCTTGAGCTTCTTTAGCTTCTTTTGCCTTTGAGCTTCTTTAGCTTGGGAGACAGCGCTACCAGGTCTTCCCGTCACCTGTTACTCGGGAGACTAATACTTCCTCTGCTACTCGGCAGGCTAATTCTTCCTCTGCTACTCGGCAGGCTAATTCTTCCTCTGCTAGACCAGCCCACGCAGCCCACCCGGGGACGCCATTAAATGTTAAGGTACGCGAGGTCAAGATTGAAGAAGCCTCCTCTTAACAAGTAAGACCCTCACCTAAGGTCTTGATATCAGTTTGGACTGCCTTGGGTGATCAAGCCAGGAAGGAAAATAACGAAGACAGAAACCAGCGGCTACACGCGCAGAAGCTCTCGCTCTACTAAGAAACTCTTTATTTCAACAACACGGCTCAGTTATATACAAAAGGGAAATTTACATAATAACAATTTATACATTCAATAGAAAAATCTACATCTCTAGTCATACACTCAAAAAAGGATATTTACATATTGTATGTTACGACTTTTAACACCCACCGAACACTTGTATATTCGATATATTATTAACAAATATAAGGTATCAAAATTCAAAACTATAATAGACGTGTATGGTGATTCTTTTCAAAAATAAACAATTTATACTGTCCTTACTGCAATGGAAAAAATTAATGGGTGGGCCTGGCTCATCAGTGTTGAACCCTTTCAGCGGTTTCGCCAGTTTAATCTACCATACCGCTGTTATATTGCATTTTTCGAACTTCCTTTTATAGTGATACTGATGCTAGACTCTTTGAATGGGTATTTTATATGAACTATGGACATAAGCTTTGAGGACAGTAGAATTACATACATTTATAAATATATAAAATATCATCTCAGGATTGCCCAGCATTTCAAGATTATAGAATGAAGAATGAACTAGTTGTTTGTGAACTTAACGATTTGATTTCCGATAAAAAATCATATTTTTAAAGTTTAATTCATTTTGTATATACAGGGTGATCCAAAAGTCCCGCACAACTTTAAAAATTAATAACTCCGCGAATATTTGCGCTAGAGCAATGCGGTAAACACCATTGTGTTCAGGATGCAATGGGATTTTTTATGGCAAATAATGAAAAATTCGAAATTGATTTTAGTTAAAATTTTATTCGCTAGATGGCGCTCTACCAGAATCAGATATTCAGCGGCTAAATTGTTTGATAAATTGAAAAATATAACTGATCGACACGTATTTTTTCTTTTTGAATATCAGGAAAGAACCCAAATAATATCAAATGATAAATCAATAAAACACCATTTCGCCAAAAGTTAGAAGAAATGGTTAACGATTTTTAAATACAATCTGAGATATGTAAAATAGGTATATGCAAATTTAAACATGTAGCAAAAAAAAAAAGATATTTTAGTTGCGGTTTGCTGGAATCCTCTCAGCTTTTTAAATTTCGAAAATAATAATTTTCTATATTTTTTTAATTCAACTTTCTCTCAGTATCGATTATATTTATTTTAATTCATTTGAAAAATATTTATCTACCTCTGGTGATTTATTCTACTCTGGAATGCCGTTGTTGTTTTTGTCGTGTCCAATAAAGAGCCTCAGATGTCTCCATGCATCTCTATCACAGCAGCAGCAGCCTTGTCCACTATCTTGGGTGTGTAAAGCAGCTGCTCTGGGTCTATGTCAATTTTCTGCAAGGCTGCGGGCATGAGAATATGTGGGTAGGTGTTAGTTCCACACCAGGACAGTTGTTGCATGTTCTATAGGTTCTTGTACCATCTGGATGTATTGTCATCCTTTATGATGTTTTGTTCTAAATCTTGTTATAGTTTTGTCATTTTTCTCTCGGAGTTTATTTCACATTTTGATCTTTCCTTATTTTTTGTTTAATTATCTTGTATTTTGCAAAAGCATTAGCGTCAAATAATGACATTTGTTCTTTCCTTTGGCTCAACCTTCTGGCTTCTTTTGCAAATTCAACTGCCATTTCATTAATCCCGATCCAAACACTGGCAGGAATCCATTGTAGAATGCAGTTATTCTCCAATGATATCAGTTGAGTAAGTAACGAGTGTATTTTTTGTGTGATTTTAGTATTGCCCTTCTGAATTGCTTCTAGATCGGATATGAAGTCGTTGTACGGTATATTATAATTCCTTCTGCTTGATGCAGGGATGGTTGGTTCAGGCATACATCAAGAGCTTTCCAGATAGCTGTCAGTTCACAAGTGAAGTTTGATGAAATCTTTCTTGCTCCTTCTTTGATTTTGATGTATGTTCCATCTTGCAGTATTATGTTAATTCCAGCCCCTCCATTACTTATGGTAAGGTCTGATGATCCATCTGTATATGCTGTTAAATAATTTATCTGATCGCATAAACCAATTGTGTCAAGTCCTTTCTTTTTAAGTATGTTTTTGTTCTCTTTTTTTTATTGCAGGGTTCATTCAGGTTAAGATTGATGAATACATTTGATGGCAATGGGGTAGGAAATATTGGT